TTTTTCTTCCCAGTGTCTTTTTATACTCGCCCTTCCCCGCTGCGCTCCTACTCGTCTACTGCCGATAGTTTGGGCCAAGGGAAGTGGCGAGATTTACCACCGTCCTAGGGACAGACTTGCGTAGAATCCACCCCACCTCACTCATCCCACACCCGCTGTGCTCTAACGTCACGAATGCAGTCAAAGCGACTGGAGAGTGACATGAAAGTAGAGACCGACAAAGTCAAATGGGAGGTCTACGCGCGCCACACACGACCTGTTTCCCAAGCTCGTGGCGGTCAAGAATGTGAGATCAACCTAAACCAAGCACAATAATTTCGTTTCGTCTAATGTCAGAAGTCAGGGAGCTGTGAAGACTAGTTTATTCTGTAAACAGGGCAGGTTGCCGTAAGCTGGCTGTTTGCTTGCAACAGAGATAAGCGTCCGTTCACGGAGAGCGCCAGTCGTGGTGTGTAGTTTACGCGGGAGTGAATGTCTGTGTCGGTAGTTGGGGATGACTTGCTGAGTGCTGGTCATGAGATTGGGCTGATTATGGGAGGATTAGGGGGACGCATAATCACAGGAGCTCAGGGGTATCAAACCAGGTCAATGTAGCTGGGCAGGAGGGGTCCCAGTTCTGGCCGGCGGGGGTGGTCGCGTGTCAACGGCCTTTCAACGATTGTCGCGGCCATCGACCGACAAAACGGAGCCGGAGAAAAGAGGGACTGGAGCGGCTGCTACAAGCTTCAATCGGACCAGGCCCCAAGTAGGCAGGAACTTTTTGGGTCACACACAGTCGAGAATGTCATGAAGGTCTCGTTAAGGAGGGAACTACTGCAACCTGACGCATTCCGGAGGAAAAGTGTCAGTCAGAAACCCTGCCAGCCGCGGCTGTTAATGCGCCGTGGTGGTTAGTTTATAGTTTATGGCTCTTTCGTGTGGCCTCTATGACACTCTGACTTAGTAGGATCTGAGCCGAGTGTGGCGGCACCCCTAGGAGACGGCTCCAGCCGCACCAGTCGTTGCTCTTGTTATTAAAATCTTGGTCAAGTGTTTGTTGTGGACCAGGGGGTGTGGTGGTGCTCCTGGGTGCGGGTCCGACCGTGCCAGCCACGTGGGTCCTCTCCCGCCTCCGGTCTTCTCGACTATGCCTTGACACTGGGCTCGGGTGGGGGAGGAGGCGAGAGTGCGACAGTTGCTACGCAAGTCGCTGTGCCTGCTCTTAACCTGCCGTGGAGTACATCGTCGGTCACGATGGTCGAACTGTCATGGTTTATGACGAGCAAACTCTGCTCTAGATCCGAGCTGGGTCAGTTTCACAGCCCCTTACCTCTTTATTGAGTCAGTTGCCTGTCCTAGTCAAGGCCACTGATGATGTGCTTGGTCGCAGTGACTAGAATGCCACAAGACTCCGTCTAACGCCTGATGCAGTGGTTACTGGGTTAAGCGCACTCTCCGCAGCGCGACTAATGCCTGCCATGAGTCAACATAGCCCATTTGTGATCAAACGCACCAGTAACGCGGTTGGTTTTGGGCAGAGCACGCCACATATCGGCATTTATGGGCCTTTGTGCGGACTCCTACTGCATAATTGCATAACTCTCGGGGTTTTCAGAAGAAGGTTTCTTGTACGCTGTGTAAGGAGTTGCTCGCCGTTTGTCTAGCTGCTGGAGCCATGGTGTTATGGGCTGCAGTTTGATGCTCCGAATAGCCACAATCGAGATTGCCACTGTGACATGCTGACCATGAACTGGAATCCAACAAATTCCCCTGGCGTTACTACTTTTTGGCTAGGTTTCGTCAGCCCAGAGTGCTGTAGAAAACAACCTTGAAACTCGATTGTCCAACTGAGATTGCGATGCTTAATTGCGTGAGAATCTGCTAATAGCGGACGAACCTTTGGAAGGGGCCATCCACGCCTTGTGACTATCTACC